TATATATATATATAAATTATTAATTTTTAATTATGTGTTTGGCCGTGCAGGAGTTCTCTACCATGAGCTTCATCCTGAGCCTTTAGCTCAAGAAAAAGTCAGATATGACAATGTGATGCAAAACATAAAAACAGAGCAGCATTCTCCTGTATCCAGTATTCCTGATGATGTAGATTATGCTCCTGGTCATTGTAAGTTTATGAGATTTTTTTAAAAATTTTTTACTCTGGTGGTGATAACTTTTCCTCTTTCCCTGTTTTGTTTCACTTCCCCTTTCCCCTCCCCCCAAAAATGTAATTTTTTTAAATACAAGAAATGGGAAAATTAAGGTATAGGAAATAGTGCTTTTTATATCTAATCTCAGATCATGAAAATACGGTAGAAATATTTAACTTTGAAAAGCACTTATAGATGAATGTTTTATTGGAAATATTTGTGTAGGCAATCAATAAATATATTGAGCTTTTGAAAAGACTGTTTAAATAATGAATATAAGATTTATTTGATATGGCATAGCAGCATATGCTAAATGTAAAACTTCTGTGCAGCTAGAAATGAAAACATGTTAGGTTGTGATCATTGAACTGAATAATTTACATTATTCAATATTAACAGTTATTTTCATGTTAACATTAATTTTCCATTGATTCATGATGGCAGAGATAGATATGTAAACTTTTTATAGATAATTGCTGCTTAAAAATTCCAAATAAGGTAGAGCTCCTGATATTTGACTAACTACTAATCCAATATGAGTTTCTTGAGAAACATTAATCTATTTGATTGAATTGGTTCTTCCTTGTCAATCGGCATTCTACACTGCTCAAAAAAAAAAAAAAAAAACATATCTCCCGTTCTACGACAAAATTCAAATTGCGTTCTTCATGTCTCGAAAGCGCGACTTAGGATATATATTAGATTTATATATAGTACTATTCTAACATAGGTATTTTGACACAAAATCGGACTTTTTCTGAAATAACATACCAATTTTTTTACATATTTCGATTCTACGAGAGAAATTCACAAATTTATATTGGCACATTTTTTTCAGTTTGCACCAAGATTAGTTCACTTGCCGAACTTCTTAATATATGGCAACCTAGTTTCCTTTTCCGCAAGAGGAAAAAAAGCGCCACCATCGTTCCTTTTTCCAATAATATTCTTTATATTATATTTTAATTATAACTGTTATTATTTTAAGTAATTTTTCTTTTTCGAATTTCATTTTAATTGTTTAAGTTGAATGTTTTTTTTTTCTAAATAATGTTTTAAAAATTTTCTATTTACCTATTCGAACTGCGTAAATAAAGGTGCCAGCGTTTATTTTTTTTTTTTAATAGTTTCTTATATATATTTTTGTCATAGTTATTATTTAGGTAATATTTAAATTTTATACTTTATTTTAATTGTTTGTGTTGCATGTCTCAGTAATTGTTTTAAATTTTCTATTTCTTCCTTCGAAATGTGCATTTTAAAATATATTATTAATATAAATTTCCAGAATTTTATTTTATTTATTTGAATTGCGTTTCTTTCGGAAGAATACTTTTGTAACCCAGACTACGATGCGTTTGAAAAAACTGCATATATAAAGAGAAAATACAGTAAAGCACAGTTAACATGCTTTCAATGTTCTGTTCAGAAAGATATAATATAAAATAAGAAGATGTATAACCGACTTTTAACTTAGGATGACTTGCAACACTGCTTTAAACAGTTTTATCATTGTGCCATTGCTTTACACAATTTTATCCTACATTTGGTTCTTAAAATGTATTTGTATTTTAGTCAAATATTTTCTTTTGAAATCGCAAGAATCAAATAATCATAAGATAAAAGTTTTAAATTAAAAAAAATACTAATGTAAATTTTACGCAAAATTTATTTTTTTATATATATATTCAAGATATTTCGAAATATTTGATATTTGACAGTCATTTTAAATAAAGTTATCGCCTTCCTTTCATAAAGGCCCACAACGATCGAGCGTAAAGTCGATGATACTGGTAGTCACTCCGGGGTTCGAATCCCGGTAAACGGGCTGGTTGCATTGGCGTTTTTGTGGATTTCCTCATGGCACCGGGTATGACAGCTGGTTTCCATTAGAAAGTTCTTCACGAGGTATTTCGTCAGGCCTTTTCGGTCTTTAGAGGCTTTATTGGTCTTTATCGGTTTTTATCAGTCTTTAGAGGCTAAACTTTGAAGGTATGAGATGAAAGGAAAGCTGGTTTTCATCAAGAGGTTTTGGTTTATTTAATTATGACAAAGCACACTAGGGCAATCTGCCTAAGGGGAGGGATGCCTTTGTGGAGGACTTTCTAAGGGAAACTGGCTTGCATACACGTTACACATGGGGAAAAGCACGAAAACGCCCATGCAGCCAGCCTGTTCGCGGGATTCGAACCTCGGACCGAACTACCAGTGTTCAGCAATTTTACCGCTCGGCCGCTGTTTCATCAGGAGGAAAAAAAAACGCCTTTAGGTGACATCCACATACAATACTGGATAAACTCCTGAATCTTCAAATAATTCGACTGAGAAAATCATGCGATTCTCGATTTATGAATCGATATGATGTTCTATAACGTAATTTAAATTTATACCAACCATATAGTCTAAAACCAGTGCTCTCACTTTATCTGCAATGATATCGTTTTCTTTTCTGCTAACACAAGCTCAATTGATAGTATTTGCTGGTGTACACATTCAAGTGTTTTCTCTTTGAACGCCTAAATTCTTTGAAGTATCCTGAAAGTATATTCAAAAGCGTCCAACTTTTTTAAACATCTTGGTATGTCTCACAACAAAATTTCCCTGCAAATGTTTGCTTACTTTTCTCCCTAATTTTCGTCTTTCTTTCTACAGTTAATTTCAGTGCTCACACAAGAAAATTAAGATTTTTCGATTGCTAGACTTCCATAAATTTTGCATTCTTGTCAATTTTTTAAAATATTAATTACATGAATTGCGTTTCAGCTGAAGTCAGTTTTTCTTTTTCCTTTTAACTATAAAAAAAGTTTAAAGCGATGTCCAAAGGATAAATATTTTAATTAAAAGATTTTTGCTAAATGACAAAGAAATAAAACAATCCAGCAGGGTTTATTCTGTACCACCGAGTGACCCGATTCTTATATCGGCTGAAACAATCTAAATCATATTAAAGATCATTGTTGGGAATGGCATCACTACGCCAGCGAATAAAAGGCCAGATAGAGACTGATGTCATGGGACGCCAGAGGAAAACGAACAGTTACGATTTAACAGTCTATAAAGCGAGAGAAAAATTAGCTTCTTAAAACATTCTTTCTAAGAGGATTAATATAAAAGATTATATATATATTTTTAAAGCTGGGACTTGAAGCAAACTGTCAAACTTTTAAAGTTTAAATTGAATGGTGGTTATAATTAAAGTTTCAATTTGAAATGGTCATAAAAGGAAAACTACCGGACCGAATGTTATCAAACTTGGGAATCGTGTAAAGGAGGTTATGGGAATTTATTTTCCGAGGAAAAAAAAAAAAAAAAAGAGTTCAAAAACTCACCACCAGGGGGAAAATGGCACTGTATAAAATATTTTTAAATGAAATAAGACACGAAAACATCTGTTTAAAGTGTGTTTAATATTTTCCGAAACGTGTTACAAAGCATGTTCAATGTAGCATCCAGCATTTTCCGAAAACAAGTTAAATCCTGTTACTGCATTCTCAACAGCAGCTCTTAGCATATCAGGAGGAATGTTACGGGCATGTCAGTGTATCACATTTTTCATTTCTGCCAAATTGTTTAGATTATCACCATAAACAGTGCTTTTGAGATAACCCCATAGCCAAAAGTCACAGAGTTTGAGGTCTGGTGGGAAGAGGGGAAGTGTTGGCCTATAAGACGTTCGTTCATGAAAGGTTGCCTAAGTAACTGTGCGACACACGTGAGATGGGGCCCAGCCCTACATATAAATCGTAGTATCTAAAATGCCACGTTACTGCAGTTCATGTATCACGAAACATTTTAACATTGATTCTAAGTGAGCTGCAATCAGAGTGGTCCAGCAGTCGACTGCTCTTCAGAGAAAAATGGTTCAGTTATAAAACTAGCTGTCATTCAACACTAAATGGTGTGGAATGACTGCTATGCTATTGAATGCAGTAGGAGAATGCAATTGAACTAGATAGATAACATGAGAGATTTCTTTGGCCCAAATCGATTAAAAGCGTTTTGAATTAGTATCTTCATAATTAAGACACAATAACACACCGAATAAATACTAATTCAGAAGTCAAACAACAAAAATCAGCGTTATTTTTTTTTAATATTAATTTTGTAGGTATAACGCTGATTTTTGTTGTTTGACTTCTGAATTAGTAGTATCTTCATGTTTTATGGCCGAACTCAGGCTTCAAAAATTACAAATAAGCGATCTCTAAGAAAACGATTTCCAGATTGTACGCACTTGTGCGAGTGATTTGCGATTTCACATTTTCTAATCGCTAATTCGTGGTTTTCACGGACGAATTTCTCACTTACATGGGTGGTGCACTCGACTTTTATCGAATTTAACGCTTTTAAATGGTAATTTGCCTACTTCAAAGTTTCTTAAGGGTGGCAACATATTAACCCGTGTAACAAAAGGTTAAGTTAGATTCCGACGCATATTTCGTTAACAATATTGCACACAGCGCTATTTCCCCTGGTGGTGGGTTTCGAACTTCTTTTTTTTCGCGAAAATAAATCCCATGACCTCCTTTACACGATTACCATTTGATAACATTTGATCCAGTAGTTTTCCTTTTATTTTTGTATCAATGTGGAACTTTAATTATAATCACTCTCATATTATTAAATTTTAATTTGAAGCTATGCGTTATGCATACCATGCGTAAGTTTTTCGCTTTTATGAAAAAAATAAAGAATCGAAGCAAATAACTTAGGATAATGGACCAAAACTGAAAACTTTCCCCTCCTCTGAAAATAAATATTGAAACTTCGACCTTGAATTTATTGGGTTATCGAAATATTAATTTGACTTATCTTCTAGTCCTAGTTCGACAACAATTCCGTCAAAAATCCGAATTACTTAAGCTGAAGTAAACGATTTAGTATATATTCACTGTATGTTAATAAAGTAATCAAGTGTAATAAAAATAGATTAAGAATTATGCTGATGCAACTTTTTTCTGACTGCACAACATGT